TAAACAAGCTCCTAAACAGTGGCATGAGAAGTTTGATAAAGTGACCCTAAAGCATGGTTTTAAAATTAATGAAAGTAATAAATGTTTATACTACAATGATAGTGATATTAGTTGTGTGATCTTATTTCTTTATGCAGATGATATACTAATTTTTGAGACAAACTTGGAGGTAGTTTAGGATTTTAAATCTTATTTATCTACTAAGTTTGATATGAAAGACTTGGGAGAAGCCTATGTAGTCTTGGTAATGAAAATAGAGAAAACATTCAATGGAATATCTCTAACTCAATCTAGCACCATAGAAAAAATGTTAAAAACGTTTGATTTTTATGATAGTAAGTCTGTATCAACACCATATGATCATCATGTATATTTGAAGAAAAAATAAAGGAGAATCGATTTCACAATTGAAGTAATCACAAATGATTGGGTCTTTATTATTCATAGGAAATAAGTCTAGACTGGATATCTTGTATACCATAGGGAGACTGAGTAGATATATAAACAGTCCTAGTAAAGAGCATTGGATTGTCTTAAAGAGAGTCTTTAAGTATCTTAAAGGAACTTTAAACTACTCTTTATGTTATAGAGGATTTCCAAGTGTAGTTGAGGGCTTCAGTGATGCAAATTCAATCGTCAATAGATTAGATATAAAACCCACTGGTGGTTATATCTTTATGTTTGGTGGAGTAGCCATATCTAGGGGTTCTAAAAAACAAACTCTAATATCAAGATGTAATATGGAGTCAGAACTTATAGCCTTAGATACTACATGTACTGAGACTGAGTGGATAAAGAATTTATTACTAGATATACCTCTAGTGGAAAAACTCATACCTACCATTTCATTACATTGTGATAGTAAGGTAGTGATTGAACTTGTGAAGCAAAATCATAATAATAAAAAAAATGAATAGACATATACAAGTGAGATATAAATCAATAAAGAAAATCCTAAGTAAAAACATAATCTCACTAGATATTGTAAAGTCTGAGCTAAATATAACTGATTAGTTAATTAAATGGCTTTCGAGAAAAGTAGTAACATAACTATCGAGGGGGATGGGCTTAAGCCCGCAAGGGGTCCCTTAGGAAAGTAACCCAACTTCTGTGATTGGGGACCCTATGAAGGAAGTTCAATGGGTATAAATTATTCATACTATGTAACTCATTAGCACTATTATTTAGGAAATATTCAAGAGGAGATATTTTTCCTATTCATCACTATGACAGAAATGCATATGTAGTGTGACGGTAAGGAAGGACTCATACCCTGAATGAGACCGAGGCAGAAATACTCCTATAAGGTATCGTGCGCATGTACCCTTAGAGGGCTCACCTAAGTGAGAGTAGTCATGAGACCACGACTATGAGAATTAGGCTATTCTCTAGAAACTTCCATAAGAATCAAGATCAAGTGCATGACCATTAATAGCACTGACCCGATAATTTTGACCAATATCGACACTATGTGTGTGACATGTTGAACTTTAGTTCAAAGAGTCTAGTTCAAGCCTTTAGTTACTATGATCCTTCAGAGAGAGATTGTCAACACTAAATGAGGTTCAAGTCTGGAAGACACCTACACCTGTTGCACAGTATAATAGTTCCTCATATTTTCTATATTAAAGTATATACAAAATATTTGAGATATTTTGAAGTTTTAAACACTTGTGGGGGATTGTAAGAATAAAATTTAGTTTTTAAAACTTTTCATTGGATTTTCACTTTAATTAAGTTTAAATTTTTAAATATTCAATTTCAGATTTTTGTCCCATTTATTGTGTATATTAAAGAATAAAAATTACTCATCTTAAAGATGGTTTTATGGCCAAACGATCAGAAGTTGTAAAGGCTGTGTGTGTGGGTTATTGATAGAGTTATGTACTAAAAGCTTAATTTTTGTAATGAAACTCGTTTTATTAATTAATAGGAGTTTTTTTATTTTATTTTATTGATAATCTATGTGAGCAAAATATTTGCATTATATTTGATATATTGTATGCATGTGTATCTTATATTTTATATTGTAGATAATCTAGTGTGTAGAGTTCGACTTATGCACAAAAAATCAGATTATCAAATCCTTGTATAATATGAATATAGGTTCACAATCTTAGCTGGAATTGGATATATCATCAGTATCACTGTAGTATAATATTCTTGCATAGTATATCTTGAATATAGGAGATTGTTTAATGTCCAAGATTATTGCACTAGTACACTTTGTGTATTAAACAAACTCATATTGAGGTTGTTATCTTTTACTGATTGAATAAAATAATAAATACCTCATAATTATTGTGATTGTTTATACTCTTAATCTCGAGATATTTAATTTTCACGCACATATAATGATTGTCACTTTAATTCATCAAAAAATGAGATTTATATTGAGTCAATAAAGCTCGGTAAATTGGGAGATGATATTATTTGTATGGTGAAAATTAATTATTAAAGGAAACGACGTCCTAATATTTAAATGGGTTGATGACGTCTTCTTGAGGAAACTCATAAGTTTTGTCCATGTCAAACCCTGTAGATAGATTTAATTATCTGATATGACAAATAAGTTGAATGGTAAGGTCTAAAGTAATAAAAAAGTCAATTAAATATAATTATCAGTAATTTATTTAATTGATAGACATCTGTAATCTTAAATGTAGGAAGATTATTAAGCATTTAATAATAAGGAGCTCGAAACATAATTTTGAGAAAAGACTCAAAAGATAAATAATGAGTTTTTGGTAGACTAACTTATTATTAATGGATTGTAGAATGTTTGTTTTAGGTTGAACATAAGAATCCTAGGTCCATTAGAAGCCCAACCCTTATTTCTCCTTACGATTTTTGTCGTAGCCCATATAGACGTTTATGCTCTCTAAATCAGTATCATCTTGATTACTCATGTTTTGAGGGAGGGAGAGAGAGAGAACAGAAGTTCAAAGGCCCTTGTAGCTCACACTGCATCCGAATTTTGGCGTTGGAGGATATACGACAGAAAAACGTGAGGTTCATCGAGCTACTTTTTGTTCCTATCTTTAGATATTTTGTGTTCGTGCTGAGATGAAATTAATCTAGAGCAATCTCGAATGTAAACCCTAGTTCCATTTTGTGGGGTTTTAAAGAAATTTTTTTTTGTATTCGATATATACGCGCTGTCAATGATTCTTAAGACTTCTATTACAACAATTAAACAAATGGCTATATCAGTGGTTCTTAAGACTTCTGTTACAACAATTAAACAAATGGCTATATAAGTGGTTCTTAAGACTTCTGTTCCAACAATTAAACAAATTGCTATATAAGTGGTTTTGAAAAACCATTTTGGAGAACAAAGAATTCAACCTCCAATATTATTCCTTTAGATGTATTTCACCTTTGCTTGGCCATACTAGTCTACACTAGTAGTCTTTTGCCTACCCCACACTATATTCCATTTACTTTTATATTCATATTCTTCTAACATCGAGTTATATATATATATATATATTTGTTTTTGGGTAATTCGATTCGAGTCAGATTCACCTTAATCTTTCAGTGGACGTGATCATTGAGAAGGTACTGCTGCGAGCGTCTGGGTTGAATCTCAGAGTCACTAGTGTCCGTCAGTACCCTCACATGGGGAGACTCAACTGCTTTAGGACTGTGATCATGCGTCTCTTGAACTCGCAGAGCAGCTCATTCAAAATCAATTTATTTGGTTTATATAGATTGTATGTTTATATATTTTATGTGTTCAGTTAAACCGCATATTATATTTTTAATGATCTAAGCCATTTTTTGCCTGCTTTATTCCTAATTTTAGATTGCAACATTCATAGTTATTTTGCTCACATCATAGTTCTAATAATTGTTGTTTTGGCCAAAAAGTCCAGTAGCCATTTTTCTTAATTACAATTGTAAATCTATGCTTCAATCTATCTGGTTTTACACTACTGACTTGGGATAGTCGAGTCTATTACCACAACACCATCAAGGGCAAGCTGAACATTCAATCCCTCAAATAGTATTTGATTCATAAAACCTGTTACCACTAGGGGAGGATAAGACTTTCACCATCAACTGAAAACCAACTAAGCTATCACATTGATGGTTTGTAGTTAAATAGTATTCTGATATACTAATTACCAAAAAATGTCACAAACATGAACTAAAATATCGCCATTCAAATAGGATTCCCATACACCCGAAGTGTATAACACAACACAATTCCCTTGATGGCCACCACTATCAATCAATCACCCAAAAAATAAATGCACTCTATCAAAACCACACTGCAAAAAAAATAATAATTATTGAAAACGCAGGAAATTCTCTCTCCGGCTAACTCAACACGCGACAGAGAAATGGCTGTTCTTGTTTTTTTTTTTTTTTTCCCACTTTTGGACTGCTTATAATAGTGATAGATACATCCCACAACAAGGGCTTCAAGACAAGGGTAGTCCTCCTTCCGAGATTATTTTCTGTTTTGATTCACTCTCAAGTTGGTTCAATTTTCAACCATAGATGGGGATTCTTTTAACCTTAAATGGTGCTTTTTTTCAATGATTCACATGCACTTCTCCTAATACCACCCAAAAAGAATCTATGGTTTTAATGAAGAACAAATATGGGAAATGCATTGTTTTTTTTCCCTTCATTCTGTGTGCTTCACCAAGTTCAGAGTTAATACATGACGTGAAAAACTGACATCACATGCATCATCGACCAGATCATTGTTTCCAAACAAGTGGTGGTGGTGGGGTTTTGAGGGGCTTGAACATCAATGATAAAAACTTGGGTTCCTATCATGTTGGTCTTATATTAGGTTCGTATCATGTTGAGTTTAACTCATGTATGATCCATCTGTATTTAACACACATATAGTTGAGTTTATACCCTGTGTATCAGTTGGTTGATATAGACTTGTTTATTAAAAAAGTCAGACAATTAAACTTAGTTATGACATGAATTTGTTAAATCTAAACTCACATTCAGTAAGTTTGNATTTCACTGCAATGGCTAAATCATCTCTGCTTCTTCCCCTCGTTCTCTCTTTAATTTGCATCTATGCTTTTACTCGGGTATATTCTCACTCCTAGCTAGCAAGATTGGTACTTATTTAGTGGGGGTGCTATACATTCCACTTTATCAAACTTCTGTCCACTAAAAATGCAGCCTTACATTTACGGTTTTGTGTTATCATCTCTTTTTTCTTTTTTGAAAATATAAAGATTACAAATGGACAAGAGGCACCACCAGGACAGATAAAAATGCAGTCCTTTGGACTCCATTTTCCCCCTTGTTCATGTTTTGAAAATTGTCCTAAATACACTAGTGTTCGGTATCTATTTTACGAACAAACCTTTATTTCACTGATTTTAACTGGTTGAAAAATTCTAACGAAACCATTTGCAGAAGACCTGGTGCGCTGCGAAGCCATCGACATCGGAGGGAGTGCTAGTGAATAACATATACTACGCCTGCGAACATTTGGGAAGCTACTCAATGATTCAGGCAGGTGGTGCTTGCTATCTTCCACCTACAACCGTGAACCATGCCTCGGTTGTGATGAACTTGTACTACCAGTCACAGAGCAGGGAACTCTTGGAACTGTGACTTTGCCAACTCCGGTCTCGTAGTGATAATGGACCCATGTAAGTTATTTCAGTTTCAACACTCATTAAATTCTTCATGTCCTTACTTAATCAACAAACCTATTATTTTTTTTACTACCACAAGGTACAAAGTTAAAGTCTCAAAAGACACGTTTTGGATGTCTATGGTTAATTTGTGGGTCAGTACGTACATTTCAAGTTTATGTAGACACCACAATTCCAAAGACTAATGCATGGTCAGGACATTTCTCGGTCATAAAGAAATATGCAATTTGAACTTATTTGGCCTTTTCAAAAAAATAAAAAATGATTTGGCTATTTATTCAGAATATGGTTGTTTATTTTTGCATATCAGGCTATGATGGGTGTAAATATTGAGTTGGACTTCTTCATGGATACAGTAACCAATGGAAGAGTTTTAATATACTATGAATAGGCATATTGGACATGTGATATGAAACATAAAGATCAAGTTGTATGTTTGAGTTACAGAATTTTATTCTTATAAATAGAGTTGGGTATAATATAATTAATTATCAGATGATCAGTTTTCTAGTCAATAATAAATCGACATAGATTTTGGTCCATAGATGTATGTACGGTGTACTAAGGTGGGTATGATGTATTGAACCACATTATCTGTTTGTATTTTATTTTTATTCTTTTTCTTATCTTAAATTCCTATCTCTCAACTTATAGTGTTAATGATATTTATCTGTTTTACAAAAATAACAAAACTGAATGAATGAATAAAGTCTTAGCAAAATATTGTCATATAAATTTTATTTTTACCCTAAGAAGAGTAGAAATCACTTTTTCATGGATAGAAACCAGTGGTGTCAATTTGGAAGTGGAGGATTGTGGTTTTAATGAATTACATAGCTCCACACACATAGTGGCGGAGCTATGTTGTGGCTTCAAGTCAATAATATTGCCATCTACATGTTAATATAAGTGAAAAGGGCACTATAAGCCACAAATTGACAAGAATCGAAATTAATTCTGTAGAAGTATAATAAAAGTAGGACATTAATGACCCATCTGTAGTAAAATCTAATATATAAGTGAATTTAAGCATGAATGATAATCGAGCTGAATAGATTGAACATATTGTGAATCTTTTATAACTCGAGTTAAGCTCGAATCAACCAGCTCTATCTGCCTTCTTTGCGTCACTAATGAAATTAACGTGGAAGAAGGGTTTACATTATATTAGATAGGTTTTTTTTTCTTAAAAAGGGTGTGATTGAGGTCATGTGAGTAACTCTCGGATGAATTTATAGAAGAGAAGAATGTGAATAGCATCAATGTGTTCTCTCAATGAGCATGGTAATTAGGGGTGTTCAAATTTCTAATTACTCATAAATTCCGACCCTACCCTATTCTACCCGACTCTATTGATCGGCTACCCGGAATAATCGAGTAAGCCAACAAAAGATTTTTTGGTATATATATATAGCAGAAGACATTCAATAATCAATTAAATAATTGATAATTACTCGTATTGACAAATGAAAACAAATTCAAATTACAATTAATTGAAAATAACTTACAACTAGTTTACTGAAAGAAAATCTCTTGCTGCATCATATGAAAGTTGGAGACAAAAAGAGATATGAGAGAGAGATATATAAGAGAATTTTGTATCAAAATTGGCTCTGGTTTACTAAGAATGATTGAAGTCCTTATATAGGCATAAAAATTTCTTGAAAGAATCTTTGAAATGATTTCTCTTTTGACTTCTGATGCTGTTTTAACTCAAGTAACTTGCTTTTACTTAGGTGATATGTTTTTCACTTTTGCTTTTCGGTGGAAAAGGTGAAGTGAATCCCTTTTACTTAGGTGAATTCTGACTTTTAGGTAGGAGCATGTGACTTCTAGGCCCCTGATGTTGGCTAGAATCTGCTTTCGGTGGAAAAGTTAATTAAGTGAGTGACTAATGGCTGATTGGTGGCTTCTTTTTTGGTGGAAAGTAGCCTTGTTGCTGGATGATTCCATCAGGGTATGTAAAAGACAACTTTTATTTCGTTAGGTGAAGAAAGTATTGATTGAAGTCTTTCACACATAGTGATAGGAATCATGGGCTGGAGAGATCATAAACATCATTGGGGTCTTGGGCATCCTGAAAGGGATCCATAGACGGGCTGACTGATGCTTGTGATGTTGCAAAAGAGTTGTAATCTTCTTGTCCTACTGCTTGCTGGAACAGTTTCTATGCTAGCTCAATTAGCTTAGATGACTTCTTCTTATTTGTTTAACTTGAATCCTTAGAGGAGGATTTGATTTGCTTTGCTGGTGATGCCTGGACTTCTGGTGAAGATAACCTAAGGGCTGGCATAACTTGCTTGGCTGGTATGCTGGTGGTTGTTCNCAAAATGTTGATATATTTTTTGACTTGTTTAACTATGAATGTATGAACAGAAGACCAAGGATGAGGATTTCTTTGAGTTTGTCATACAAAGGCTTGACTGTTTTTCTAAGAACTTGCTAGAAGTTTGAAACATAGTTTAAAGATCCTAAGAATCTTTGTAACTGTATTTTGTCTGTGATCTCATCAGGGAATTTATCTGCAAATTGGATAGATCTACTGATAGGAATGATTGTTGACTGTTGGATATTATATCCAATAAATCTTATTGAGGTTTGGAACAACTTAATCTTGCTAGAAGAGATGACTAGACCATTGTGTTTGAAGAAGGCATGAAGATGTTTCCAATGTTCTTCTATAGACTTGGAGAACAAGAGGTTATCATCTGTGTGGACTATAGAGAAATAACTAAATGGGTTAAAGATTTCATTCATTATTTTAAAATTCACGATGAGCATTTTTTAATCCAAAGGGCATTAAATTTCATTCATAAAGTCTAAAAGGAGTTGTAAATGCAGTTTTTTATCTATCTTCTAAGGATATTTGAATATGCCAGAAGCCACTTTTTAAGTCAAATTTAGAAAATATCATTGAATTGCTTAATCTTTTGATTATTCTTGTTTGTTTGGAATTGGGTACCTCATACATTCCAATACATAATTTAGAAGTTTGTAATTGATGACTAACTTTGGTACTCCTCTTTTTAATTCTGCATTTTTTAATGACATAGACAGTTGGATATGACCAAGGAGATTTGTTTTTTCTAATGATACCATTTTTGGGTAACTCAAAAATTTCTTTTTTTACAAATTTCCATTACTTCATGGTTCGTTTGGATAGGTCTTGACTTGGTTAGAATATTTTGTTCACTAAATCCTTTGATGTAAGGAAGTTTTACTATATGTTTTTTCCTATGCCAGAAGGCAGTAGGAAGGTTAGAACATACTTCATTTTCTAACTTTTCTTTAAACCTTTCAATCTTTTGGATTAAGATTGGATTGGTTAGCTGTTCTTGAATTCTTTTGGTGACTAATTTCTTCTTTAATAAATTTTACTTGGTTACTTTTCTGGGTTATTAAATAAAGAGACTTAGAGATTGAATAATCTTTAAGTTGTCTTAACTCTTTGACTTGAGGTTTTGTCAAAAATTTAAATGTTACTGAGTGACCAAATAGTTTGGTAGACACACCTTCTATATCTGTAGTAAAAGGATACAACAGGTATATGAATGGTCTACCAAGAATGATTTTATATGTCATATTTTGTACCAAGACAAATGATGTTTTGAAGCATACTTTGTCCTAAAAAATATGCACATTTGGTAACTTGTATTTTATACTCATTTTACTACCATTGCCAGAACTGAGTATTTCAGCTGGTATAAGCGCTTTCTGAATGCAGTTTAAATCTGCACCAGTATCTATAAGAGCTATGACTTCTACCTCATAATCATTATTAATTATGATTTTAACTCTAGAATGGCATTTTTGGAGATTTAACTTATTGATTAAGTTTAACATGCTATCATTTTTGCTTGTATTCAAACATCCATCGTTAGATGACATATTTGTTACACCCAGGGGATCCACATTTGAGGTGGAGGTTATGAGTATCCGCTGGGAACATGTTCTGGTTGAACTATGTGCGCTATCTAAGTTTTTAGTTTCAGATTTTTCTTCAGATTGGCTAGAAGCTGAGCTTCTTGATTTGCTAAATTTATTTTTTGCTTTGAGAAGATTTAAAGCTTCTTCCAACTTTTTGTCTTGTAGTTTTAATTCTTTTATTTCATGCTTTAACTTGTTAACTTCTTATTGGAGGTCTTGTAAAGTTACTTCTTTCTTTTTATTCTTACTTAATTTCTCCATAGTTTTGTTATAACTAATTAACTGTTTTTCACCAAAAGATTGTCTAATATCTTTTTTGACAAATAAATCTGATTTTTTTTTAATTCTTTTAACTTTTAACTCAGGATTTTCAATCTTGCTAATGAGATCAATGAGGACATGTTCTTCCTCATTTTGCTTGATTACAACTCTAATTGTTTTATAACAATTGTCTTTATAACCTAGCTCAATGTCAAGTTCACAGGTGTGACTTGAAATCGACTAATAATCTGAAGAACTTTCAGGATTACTTGAATCATATGAACTTTCTTCATTTTGTCTGAGGTTACTTAACTTAGAGATGGTTAAGATCTTAACTTCATCTTCTTGAGTTAATTTTAATTGTTTTAACTTCTTTTTAAGTGGACATTCTGGGCTGATATGTCCTTTTTTGCCACAATTATAACATTCAACTACTTTAATATTCTTTTTTCCTGACTTTTTCTTATAAGTTTTACGCTTATAAGATTTTTATGTTTTTGACTTGACTTTCCTTAATATTCTTGTTTTGGAAAATTCTTTTTGTTTTTTTTGTAACAATGCCTACTTTTGTTGTAGGGTCTATGTGACTTGTGTTTCCTGTGGGATGGTGCTACTGAAGGGAGATCATATTGTTCACAGAAATCACCCATTTCATGCTTAACTTTTTTCTTATCATGTTTCATTTGTTTGTTAATTTTCATATCAATACACATTCTTAAACTTTCTTTTTGAATGTTACTGACAATGTCACCATAAGTTAATTGATCG